TAATAACAGTTATAATTAATAACTATTAGCAAACTACAACTCGTATACAGGTCTGAAAAGGTAATAATCGCCCGCCGCCAGATGAAACTCGGCAAAATTTCAAGCGCCTTCTTGTGGCGAAGAACATAAAAATTGGCCCCTGCGTGAACGTTTTAATTTAGTTGTTTCTCTTGCTGTTTTCTTGTCCGTCAAGAATGGTTGCCGGAGCCTCTAGGAGGTTGGACTTCTACGTCTACTCCAATTTTGAGGGAGAGCACTCCCTAGCGGACGGTCCGAGTGTCTCCCACCCCTCTACCCTACCACCAAACCACACGAGAGGACTTCCAGCTCGCCATGCGTTTAGAGTGCGCCCATACCGCAAAGACACTAAGCATTTCCAAACATCCATGCCTCCTTCGGGATTCGAACCGGGCCCTCCTGTACCACAGTTGAATTAGTTTAGTAACGATTTGAATTAAATGAATGTTACTTTTAAATGCAAATAATATGATATAACAGTGCAAGCATGTTTAAGCTATTATTATTAATCAATGAGAGTATTCAGCGTGATGGCCGCAGCTAGCAAAAAATAACTGGGACCACTTAACGCACCATTCTCAGCAGTCGTATTTAACTCTCTAACCGGCAAGTCCGTATATATACGGCCTAGAATATTTTTTCTGATATCTGTAAGAACGTATTTATATTCTTACGTATATATATATTATAAGAACATATATATACGTGTAAGAACGTATATATACGTTATATAAGTGCATATTAAAACATGCCAAAGAAATTAAGGCAATATATCAAAAGTGCACAAATCCGGGTATGAAATACCAGCAGTATATTTACATTAAAATAAAAAAAATATGTTCTCATAGTATATTTTGGAAATTTGTGCTTTCTTAGCGAAAACCCTGGCCTCTCAGAGGGCTGATCTGCTGAAATATATACTGTATGTATTTTAGAATGCTGCCATTTGAAAATTAAACATTGATAACGAAAAATTTTATCACAATACATTAGTTTGCGACATTATTTCATAGAAAAAATTATCATAGATTCACAAATTTGTGTCTATTAAACTTCGTAAACTGATTGACCGCCCTATCCTTAAAGAAGAGCATTTTTTATCCCAGCATTTGTGTTGCTTCTACACTGAGCAAATACAGGTAAAATTTAACATGCTTTCCATAGTAGTTTTGTATGTTATGGTAAGCATAAAAGTGAATGGAATCAGTGGTTCACCAGTTCGTTTTCCAGAATAATGTGACTTTCATTAATGTTATAAGGTATTTCTCCCCACTTTCCCAGCGTGCCTTCGTGGTGTAGTGATTCTGCAGACTGGGCTGGTATTCCAGAGGTCCTTGGTTCGATTCCCCGCGAAGGCATTGCTACTTTTTCTTCCTGCCTGCTTCCAAAATATACCTAATGTCTCTACAAGTGGCGCCCGAACTAAAAGGGTGTTGGATGAGGTTTCTCCACACCCAGAATTTGGCGATTGAGTCTCCTGAAAACCCCAATATCCCTTTAAAAAGGGTAGTATATAAGGTATTTCTCCCACTTTCCTAGAGTGCCTTCGTGGTGTAGTGGTTCTGCACACTGGGCCGGTATTCCAGAGGTCCGTGGTTCAATTCCCGGGGAAGGCGTTGCTACTTGTTCTTCTTGCCTGCTTCCAAAATATACCTATGTCTCTACAATGTAGCCTAAACCATACACGTGAGGTTACTTACTTTAGTATCAAAGATAATCCTTGAAAAAAAGGGAACAATTTTCGTTTCGCCTGACACATTAGATCCATGTTTCCCAAATTCAACGGCCGTGAAAGCATCTCTTATTACCTCAGTGTACTGCATCCGTCAATGGGCTTGCTAATCTCTGCATTTCAGCTCTTGATAAATTTGCAAAGATAAATTTGCAAGAGTCGTATTGCTATATTTCGCGCAGTATTATTCAGAATGTTGTCTGCGCTAATTTTAACTATAAAATGTGGAAAGAGCTCTTGCTGAAGCTTTGAAATTTTCTGTCTTAACTAAAAGATGCCTTTCGCATGCTTCTCTAAATGACAAATAATCGCCTGCAGTCATTTTCTAAGCAATTATGGTGTCAATCTGTTCAAACTGAAGAATATTATTGGCTTTGTTTCCTTATGGTCATATAAAAATATTTCAGATGTAAGCGTCAAGTGAATGTGTGAATTACAACATTTTTATCGCTTAAATTGTCATATTTGACAAGCTAAACAAATCACTTCCATTTTATTTTTAAGATCGTTGTCATATATCTCTTAATATACAATGATAGTTATCAATAGGGATTTCACAATACGATAATTTTTCAGTGGGAAATCCCTATTGCCAAGCGATAAATTGTGAACCTCTGATTTTAGTAGTATTAGTAGTTTGTAGTAGTAATAGTAGGCGTAGGAGAAGTAGTTGTTATTGTTGTCGTTGGTAGCAGTATTACTTCATTTCATCTTCGCATATGAAATTTATAAATATAGAATTCAGGATCTAGTTTAACATTACCATGGATATACCTGCATAAAGGAATAAATAGATTAATCTTAGGCACCCTTCATTTTAAAATAAGAATACAGATCTGACGTAAGGAAATATTAAGATACGGAAACCAAGCTTTTGAATATTTAAGCGCTAAGGAAAGAAAAGCAATACAGCAATTTTCTCACCGAACATTCTTCAAGCTTATAATATGTTTATACATTAAACATAAATATGTAAATTGAAAATTGAAATTTAAAATAATTATTATATCCAAATTTTAAAAAAAAATGAAAGGTTTCAGATTTTAAAGTCCGCCCAAAAGGACTAGTTCAGGTTTTTACACTCTCCCTGAGCACGCAGTCTACCAGTCAGCTGTTACCTTTACTCTACTAACCCCCTTTCTTTTTGTCTTTTTAACTTTATTAGTAAGCATCATTTTCATCGCTCTTACGCCATATGCAATTCAACAACAACGGAACGGAATTTTAAAACATGTAGCAATAACCTATGTAATAATAATAACAATAACTATATTATAGCGAATACTAAATAATATTTTAAACGTATGGGGAATATACATTTGGAATTCCTCATGCAGCGCTAAGTGTTGGCATATATTCTCTGTTTTTTCAGTCTTTTCTCAGTTCGTCATATCAACTTTCAAGTATTCTTACTAAGATATCTTTACAATTTTTTTTTGCCTCTTTATTAGTAACATTTCGTGTGTTTACTTTATTTATTAAATATCACATTCTTGGCTCTTACGACACATAAAATTCGATTCAAGAGCAAAATCACAAAATATTTAAAAAACTGCATATCTTTGAAATTTCCGATAGACAGTCTCGCACGCGGGAGATAAAAATATTTTATCCCGCACAGTTTTACCACTGCTCGCTTTGAAATCGTTGAGTTTGTTAATCAAAAATTCGTTAAAGTTTAACAAAATATGAAATAGATAATGAAAGCAATTCAAAATTCGGTCTTTCAGGGCCCCAGGTTCGGATGGAGGACTAGTTACCCAAATTTTGATGGCTCTAGGTACCGCCCTTTTCATTCATGCAGAGTCGTCATTGTTTAATTTCTTAAATATAATACAGGGCGATAATATTATTTGATGTCAACAAGTTTCGAAACTAATATCCCATTCGGGCTTTTCCGTTTTCGGCTAAAAGTAGCCTTAGAAGGACTTTGCTTTCATCCAGTCCAACTCAAGAAAGAGAGATACAGTCAAAAGTCTTTAATCCGGACTCGTCGGGACTTCGGCGATTCCGTATTATCGGTTTTTCCGGATTATAGATCCTCAGTTAAAATCTGGTAAGATGGCATTCAGAAATTATAAAATTAAAAATAAGAAACCGTTATTTATGAAATAAAGAGCAATTATGATCTAAACGGGCATCAAAATTTACAAAAGAAAGCTTCATATTTATTTTTTTACTTTATTAAACATTTCTTTCAACGCGCGCATGCATAAAGCATACATTACGCATACTCCAAATTAGAAAATTGCAACCAGAAAACTATTTTATGTGTATTCGTGATATTTATAATGACGAGGAATTTGATTAAAATCATCTCAAAGACGGAGTACATTGAGATGAAATACTGCATTTAGTAAGGAATTAGAAGCCGAATAAAATAAAGCCCTGAAGATAAGGATAGTGCTGACAGATCAACTTCCAGTTCATTGCGCGCCGCGAAGTTCCCCTCCCCCCCCCAGAGCAGCGTGAAATTGATAAACAGATTTCGGAATGGTTAGAGAAACAAAGGATATGCCTTTATCTATTTTTTGCAGCAATTCCACTTTTTGTTTGATGGTCATCGAAACATGCTTTCGCTTTGTAGATCTTTTGGCAGCTCCAGAATCGGAAATTCTTTTTGACATAATCGAAAGTTCAAGCTTACTTTTATAAAATTGCTGTAACAGTCTGCAAAAAATAATAAGCCGGATTCAGATTAGAAGATTAAGGAACAACACATGCAGCTTTGAGATCCAGATTACAGATCATTACGGATTACGGACGTCCGGATTAAAGACTTTTGACTGTATTAATTTTATATAACAAAATCCTCGAAACTGTGCATTTCGAGAAAGTTTGATATCTGTTTCATGGAGGGCTTTAACTATGCATTCGACGAAGCCTATCGGATTCCTTCAAATGCAAGGCATTTTTATTTGTGTAACGTAATAAATTATCAAATTAAAAAGTGTTAAGTGTTTTAAATTATTTATTTAGCCAACTCCCAATTTTGATGCTGAGATTATTAGGGCTGAAGTGTTATTCATTTGGCGTTGCCTGTAAATTAAGTAAATCAATAGTTTATTCGTATTTGTCTTCACTTTTACTTCACAGCCTTAATATCCATCTAGTTCGAGTGGAAATAACATGTGAAAAGTCTAATGACATAATGAGATAATCACCAAAAATGCGTAATGACATAATGTAAACAATGTTAAAATTTTACAGGCGTTACTTATTTATTGTATAAAAATATGTTTTACAGATTTAATTTCTACGCTTGCTACACCTTCCTCAAAAGCAATTCAAAAATGTTGTTCTACTTGAAACTTGGCTCGCTTTTGATGGTCACGATGGTTGTCATATCTGTAAGTGTGACGACATCAAAAAGTATTGGGCAGCAAGAGAAAGTGCTCTACCCATCTGAATTTGACGTAAGTATAATTGAATATATTTTGTTATTATTACACGATATTATATAAAAAATTTCTTAAAACTCAAAGATACAAGAAAATCTTAGTTCAAGATAGGAAAACAGAAATGCAGAGAAAACTAAATTTTGAACATACCTATGGTTTCAGTAAAGAGGAGCCCATGTATCTTTGTGAAACGTTTTTATTCTCTGCTTTAATAATTGTCTCTGTATTGACAATGTTAAAGAGAAAAAGCAAAAAAAAAAAAAAAATTAATTAATTAAGCACTCATAACAAATCTTAGTTTAACCTCAGAAACTCGACTCAAAACTCAAAATGGTGCTTGTTTAATCCACCTGAAAATAAATTTTATGTTTTTTCCCAGTTCTACCCCCCCTAGAGCTAAACTGTACTCCAAAATGCAACCAAATTCTTCCTAAATTTCTCCTCAGCATAAGTATGCTTTCTTTATGAATCAATAAAAACAGCCTTAAATTTATATTTCTAATTCTAATACTCAGTCATAATAGCGTAGGAGATTACCTAAAAGGATTAGCTGATAACCATATTCAAACCGTATAAAAAAGTAAATGTTTAAAAATAAATACTATTGCATTTTTATATAAAATATCAGATCGAATCAGATTATGTTATCAAATTTCATTATAATATTAGGTTGGGGAATGATGTTAGGACTTCTTTCTTTAGTACAATTCATAACTCAAAATGACTTCATTGTTGAATAATGCCTTATGGACCATAGTGTGTCTAGTGAAATACACTCACGTTTGTGAAAATTGCAACACCAAGAAGGAATCGTCATAATTGAATGCAATTTAATACACAGTTGAGTGGTAGTGGTACAAATAAATGATTAAATGTTCAAAGCAAACAAACAAGAACAAGAGATCAGAATCAGTATTTTGTGTGGCCACCACGCGCCGCAATAAGTGCTGCTACACGACGTGGCATGGAGTCAAACAAAGTTTGAATGTCTGACTGAGGAAGAGCATTCCATATCGTTTGTACGCGTACCCAAAGTTCGTCTGCAGACGCAACAGGACGAGGATCACGAGCAAGACGCCGACCAATGACATCCCACACATGTTCAATTGGCGACATATCCGGGGAACACGCAGGCCAAGGAAGAAGCTGTACCTGCTGCGCTGCAAAGAAGGATTTAACAATCCGAGCAGTATGAGGGCGGGCATTGTCCTGTTGAAATACAGCGCCTGGCAAGCTTTGAAGGAAGGGAACAGCTTCGGGCTGTAGAACTTCACGGATATACCGGTTGCTGTTCAGATTGCCCACAATTCGTAGCAATTGAGATCGTCTATGATATGCTATGGCGCCCCAGACCATAACTCCGGGTGTTCGTCCACTGTGGCGTTCGATAATGCACTCCGGAAGGTGGCGTTCACCGGCATAGCGTCTGACACGAATGCGGCCATCATGGTACTACAAATTAAAGCGGGATTCGTCAGAAAACATGACTTGCTGCCAATTAGCACGCCAGTCTCTATGCTGATTGGCCCATTGTAGCCGCAGGCGGCGATGGTCGTGCGTTAGGGGGATCCTGTATAAAGGAGTCCGTGCGCGCAGTCCACACTGCAGCAGACGTCTACGAATTGATGAAGCACACAATGAAACACCTGTAGCTATTGACCACAGTGCTGCCAATTGTCTAGAGGAAGCTGTACGGTCCGTCCGCGCCATGCGGACCAGGTGTCTATCGTCGCGAGCTGACGTCACATTTCGGGGTCCACTCCCGGATTTCCGAGTTGTCCGACACTCGTCCGTCCACTGCTTCCAAACGTGCATCACTGTGCTGCTGTTACGCTGCACACGAGAGGCTACTGCACGATACAACAATCCAGCTTCACGAAGGCCGATGATTCTCCCTCGTTCAAACTCTGTAAGTTGTTCAAATCTCGCTCTCTTTCGTCGACGAGGCATAAGTACAGATTGAGTTAACGTTTACCACTAGCAGATAACCACCGATAACCATACACGCCTCGCTACAGCCGTCTATTTATTCGGATCCATTAGCCGTTCAGAGGGCGCTGCTCAGCATACGCATGCGCTACGGATTTGCAATTCTAATCATTTGCATATCATGCGCTACTTTGCATTTCCTGAAAATTTCAGCTCACTCGCGTAAGTCCTTCATGGTGTTGCAATTTTCACAAACGTGAGTGTACTAACATACGAAATTTAATAACTTAGCTAATACACATGAAGCTTTGTCAAGGAGAGTAAGAAGTTTAGAAGAACTAGTATGTACTTTTCAAATTCTTCCGTTCTTTGCGTAAATGCTTTCAGTATGAAAATAAAAACCTGGCAGCTTTTTAAAAAATACTTAATCCTGATATTGAATTACACAAGACGTTTCCTTCTGAAAATAATAAGAAAAACTGAAAACAAATTCAAATATACTTTAACTCTTATTCGATTCACAAACACTTTATGTTTTACTTTATCTGAAGCAAAATATTTTATTCTCTTTAAGATAGGTTCCTAATAAATCCACTACATCCGCACCAAAACCAAAATGTGGAATCCTCTGTTGAATTATTACTAATGGAATCATTCAGTAATCTGTTAAAAAGGTAAAAAATAATATATAGTGGTAAAACGTCAGACGTTTGTTTTTACCAGAGAGTGTCAATTTTATTCTACGTTTCTGTTACATTTTTAAAAATTTGCAAGGATTAAGTAAGCTTAATCACCCAGATTTATAACTTTCAATAATGGAATCATGTAAATAGTTTCACAATGACAGGCCTCTAGGTTGATATGTAGAAAAACAATAAGATAATTGCTTACATTTTGAGTAACAACATTAACTTAAGAGTATAAAAAATAACTTAAGAGTAAAGATGCACTCAAGTTACCTATTAGATATAAACAATACCTTGCATCCCAAGCAAAATACAGCGTTCATTTTTTTTCTAAAAACTTTTATCGATATTTATCCTTAAACTAAACAAAATTTCAGATTATAATTGGTGTGTCCAGACCAAATATAATCTGAAATTTTGTTTAGATTTTTGTTAAGTTAAATTTTGTTTAGTATAATTCTTAGGTGTGTCCAGACCGGACGCACTGTGCAGCATTAACCCTTTGCGGCACAGTGCGTCCGGTTTGGACACACCTAAGAATTTCCTTCTGTCCACACTGAAAAATTGAATGAAAACGGATTTATAAGTTACTCTGAACTTTCTTTATTTATAGTAGATGGCAGCTTAACACAACCCAGTCCATATATTTTAGCCATGTTTAGTTTTTTAAGACCCTCATTTTTCAAACAAATCTTCCAGATTTTTTTAGGGTATAAAAGGAATTGTTTGAAACGAAATTTCCATGTTATTTTTTTGGCTGTGTGCTAATCTCCTTATTCCATATTATTTTTAAATTTTTACCTTGGAATCTTGCCTAAAATCAAACTGCGGACCCTAGGTGTGCCCAGAAGGGGCACACCGATAATCTAGGACAACTGAGAGTCTATATTCTTTGTTTCTCCGCATCTCTTCGGTCAGTTCATTGACAAGAATGCCCGTTTCAGCGCTTTTTTCGAAGCTATTCAATCAATGTGCCACTTTGGGCACACCCACAGAATTAAAACGATAAGTGCTATCTTCACAAAATTTTACTTGTGTACTCCTCTAGGCCTAATTAGACTGCCTACCTTTTTTTTTTTTTTTTTTTTTTTTTTTTTTTTTTTTTAAATCAAAATTCGAACTTTAAAAGGTAGCGTGCCGGAAAGGGTTAAAGCTTGTTGACATCTTAACATTTTTAATTATGTTTCTAATATACTGATTTCGCATCTTGTGATGTTAAAATCACTTAGTTATTGCACTCCAGTCGAAAATTTTGACATTGTAACTGTCAAAGTGTTTCTAAATTTTTCCTGATCTAGCGGAGCTTCCACAGAAGAACTAAATCAAATCATCAGCTTAGAAGTTACATGTAATTATACTTAGTATGAGATTTATAAAGTGAGAAATCTTCAGCGATATGGCATAGTACTACCTCTTAATAACATTTACATTTTATATGAATGAAACAGAAAAGTTACGGTCTAATTATTATGTCATTTCTAAAAAGCATTGAAAACTTCGATCATATGCTAAAGATTTAATTAACTTCCCTATGTTTTACAACTCTTAAAATTTCGCTGTATGTCAAGTCAGTAATAAATTATTCAATAGTAACTGAAGGAAAATAATTGGTGCTTAAAAAATGATTGCAATCTGCTTTGTTAGGTTTACTACAGATGCCTCAGTAATTACATATGGGAATTACACATACACGCGCATATATACATGTGTGTATATATATATACATACTTATAAGTGTATGCTTACTTTTAATTCATTTATCTAAATTACACATATAGATATATATACACACACTAACCTAGAGATAATTAAAACACAAAGCAAGATGGAACAAAGTTATATCCAGAATATAATTTTTTATAGTAGTCTTTAAAATAACGCAAAAATGAGGAACTAATTGATTACGAAATATTTGAGATTACTGTACAGAAGTTTGGAGATTAAGTGAAAAATGTTGTTGTATGTATGATGATATATAATATTTTCATATATATAATAACATGGAATGTGAATATAATTTAAAGGTAGTTTACACAGTTAAACAATTTTATGAATTTTAAATCATATATAATTGAATTCAATTTGAAAAACTGTTCCATATTGTTAGAAAATGTTTTGAGTAACATACCAATTGATTGATTAGTGATTGGTTTCATTTGTTAATTTCTTCTTATGGCTAATATGTTTTCTCTTTCAGTCTTCGCAATGATATCATACTTTTGCTGTAGTTTCATTTACGGTTAACTCAACCATTTGTTCTCAAATCATTTCCTCTAAAACTACACTCTCATGTACACTTTTCTGTTTTCTGCACTCTGTAGTCAGTTCCTTCTAATTTTTAATAAATTTTAAGCCCGCTTTTTTCCAAATCTATTCTTGATGTCTTCTTGATCCATATTCCTTAGAATCCTGTTTCGCATATCTTTCTTCCTGTTTCACATTTTCATAGAATTTTCCACTTTCTTCCAGTTAATAAAGTTCAAAATAGTAGAACTGCGCTAAAATTAAATCACTGCACTTAATGTTTAAGACGAGTGAGTAAATAAAATCATCTTTTCTTGATCAGAGACAACTTTAAAGAGCAGAAATGTTGAGTGTGAATTTCTCAAAATTTGTTATAAGAATGTAAAGTAATTGTGACGAGTTCTACAAGTCATAAAATTATGTGGGTTATAAAAATTATCAAAAAATCATGCATTTATAGCATTTAGAGATAATGTTTAGCATAACTGTTTAGCTTACACTAAAGTATTTAATAATTATATTTTTATTCGATATTGGTATCTTCTGTTCATGAATTACTCATTTAGTTTAAATAAATAAAATTCAGATATGCATCTTACAACATATAAAATTGAATAAATATATTTGTACTCTGAAATACCACATTTAAACTTCATTTAAATTATTCATACAGAGAGTTTGTATTATCGCTCATTTTTCGCACTGATTAAATTAAAATTCAAAGTTAATTACATAAAATTAATATTTACAGCACTATTAATTTAACTTTTAGTAATTCTATGTTTGTAAAATTCAATAAATTAGTTCTTCACATGAAACATTAGCTTCGATAGAGCAAAAATACAAAAGATTCAAATATATAGTTATTTGTATTGTCTATCAGAGAAACTTCTGTATTTTTTGTAAAATGTAAAAGAATATCTGCGCAATATAATAAGGCATAATACATGCAAGCGCATGAATTAATAAATTTAAAAATAGTTTTTATAATCTTTTTTTTTTCAAATCTAGCCCTACAAACTGTGATGTTATACGTTACATTATCATTACAGTAACGTTATATTATCGTTACTTTAAGATTGCATTTTACTATGATGTTATACATTCATTATTTTAATAATGCTAAGAACAAAATTATTGTTACATCTTTCATTCTAAAAACTTAATCACACAGTCACACATTCTTCTCTTAGTATTTTCCGTATCTATTTTAATAGTGAGATCTTCAGATATCTGTTGCAAAGGAAAAATTAGTGTACATATTTTAGTAAATATTACAGTTATTATACATATTATTAAGTACGCAGACAAAATGGTAATACGTAACACTTTCAGATCGAGAATAAGCCAGGAATACTTCAGCGAGTGCAGAGCAGCAACCAGAAAGTAAGTTCATGTAAATTTTTTATCCAATAAATATATAAACAAACAGAATAAGAATTGTATGCCCAACGATACACAAACCTGAGTACATTTTGAAGGCAATTTTGATTTGGGAAAACAATTTTCATATTTTATTTTATGAATTTTTTAATGTCATTTCATTTAGTAGTGGTCTGATTTTTTGTATTATTGCAGTGCAAGATATGTATATGTATCTTCTGCATTGATTGTCTTGATGTATTCTGCATTGTCAATATGATAAGCAGCAACTTCTATATAATATTTATTACAGATAATTATTGAGAAATGTTCTCTATCTTTTTCCATTATAATTAATACTTTCGAAATCATTTTCAAGACATTCTAAAGGAGGATTAATACTATTATTTTTCATTAGAATGTCTTGAAAATGATTTCAAAAGTATTCTTAGGCCTACAGGGAGAATTCAAAAGTATAATAGATTTTTATTTTGTGCACAAAAAGGATTTAAAATTAATTATCAATCTTCATACGAGTAACAAAATTCATATTCAAGACATGCTAAAGCCATTTCATCCTCTGATGAATATCTATTAGTTTTTCTCTTTCACTTCTCCCAAATCTAAAAACCATTTTTTCTTCTTATGTGTTTCTGCTAAACAGGAGGCCATCTTGGATTTGTTTGCTGGCTTTAATTTGCCAGCGAACTTGTGTGCACTGACATCTCAAGTTGTAAGGTCTATTATATCAAGCGTAAAATAATCTGTTCTCTTATTTTGCATTTTTAAGGTGATATTAAGACTACTTTTCAAATCTCTTACTTTATAAATGTATGTTGCAGTGATATTTTTTGCTATTTTAGTAATGTTAATGAATAACATGTAGCTGTGATTATTTTTGCAAATGTTAATATTGTGTATATTTCAGATATAGTTTCTCTTTTATATATCACATGGCAAAACTACAAATGGTAAATAAATAGACTGTACCAGTATATAATTTAGTTTTAAATATAATTTCATGCATCTTAACTAAGAAGTTTGAATAATATATCTGTATGCAAGTAATGATTTAAAATATTAATATAAAAAACGCTGGAAAATAAATTTCGCTTCAACGTGCCTAGTATTACACATTAGCTGGAGTAATCCATAACTTCTTATGTACATGCTTATGAAAGAACCTATATTAAATTATAATCCCTTTAAATATATACTTGCGATATGATTAAAGTTAGAGATAATTTTCAAATTTTTACTTGATAGCAGAAGGGTACTTTTATAAAATAGTTACGGTTTACTATAAACATCTTTTCCTTTTTTTCATTCAAATAGAAAGCATAAAATTAAAGTAATTTTGAAACATATTATAAATATATATACCACATATTTATTATATGTTTATATATTTTCATCTTGGTAGTTAAAATCCTTTGTTTACACATATATACCTAATTATTAAATTTTGCATGCTTTTCAGCCTGCTATCTAGTTAATTTTAAACAAATATTCAATTTAAAATAGTTTCGAGAATAATTTACACAGATGCTGCAACGTCAGTTAAATAAAATACGATCTTTTAAGATTATTCCTCTTCTTCAACACGTTAAAAACTGTTTAATTTTGCATGTCTTTCAGTTTCATTGAAGAACTATCAAGAGATAAAATAATCTAATAGTGAAGTAACAATAAAGAGGCCGCCCAACAGGGATAGTGATTAGTATCTCTGGCTGCCGTACCAAAGGGCGCTGCTCGAATCCCAGGGAAGACATGAATGTTTGTAAATTTATAGTATCTGTGCAGCATAAGAGCATTTTAAATATGCGGCGAATCAAAAGTTGTCTCGAGAGGTTGATGTTAAGGAAAGAGATGTGTAAAACCATCGGATCCGTTCCTCCGGAGCGATCTTCTTCAAAATTCGGGGGGGGGGAACTGAAAGAAGAAGTACTGTTGCTTGTATGATGCTCAAAGCTCTTGCCAACGAAAAACGCAATTTTTTACTGCTTGTCACAATGAATTTTGTGAGCTCTTTATGTTATTGTCAGACAAGGGTTATAAGTCACAACAAAAGCTTCTGAAAAATCATATGGAAGATTTAGAATGCGCATAAAACGCACAGATTTCTTAAAGATGACATTAAATTCTTGCTGTTTAATTTGCAAGCAAAAGCGTCATGTACTTGGTTGTCTTGCATATTTGCGCCATATATATAAATAACAACCACCAATCTCGAAAGGACTTTGTGACCAGCCTGATCATTTTAAAGTGCCTTGCTCCTGTCTACCAGCGCTGATTCCTGATTCGCCAATTCCTGATCGAGGCTTCTCCACATCCAGGATTTGGACTTTCTTCTAAGACTTTCTCCACCAGAGAGCGACACATCTGATTGCTAACTATTTTTCTTCTTTTTTCTCCATCTCACTGCGCCCTCTATGGGATTCATTCAGGTACTTTTCAGCACCATGCCCATTGTGGACTTCCTTCAGGTTTACAGGGAAGTACTGCAAATGCAGTAGAACCCCTGTATAAATACCTCTGCATCAAAGTATCAAAGAGAGGACTTTTGGGTCATCGCATATTTAGAGTTCCCCCATGGCGAATAGGCACTACACTTTTACAAACATCCATGCCTTCTCCGGGATCCAAATCCGTAACCTTCGGTTTGGCAGTCCAGAGTCGCTAACTAATCCCGGTTGGACGTCATAGAGAGTCTCTGTTATATAATTAACTACGCTAACAACAGCAAACTCCGGAATTTATTACAGTGATTGTTAAATTCTTAAGTTAATATAAAAGTTTCAAGTTTTTTTTGGCTGCCGCCCAGTCGGTACAGTGGTCAGGGAAGCTGGCTGCGATGCCGAAGGGCCTAGGTTCGAATGCTGGAGAAGGCATGGTTGCAACTGTACGTCCCTTCATAGGAAAGGCGATGGTGTCCCACCTATTAGGAGCCTCCATAATAAAGAGACCACCACATCCGGCCTTGTATAGATTGTAGCTTGTAATTAATTTGTAATTTGTTTGTTTGTTTACATTTGAATTGTTCACAATCTGCCATTGAAAAAAAAAGACTTTTTTGGCTTTGTTGATAAGATGCCAAAATATTTATCAACCGAAAAATAAGCGTGGTCAATACAAACAGATTTTGATTTTATTCTCGACGTAAGTATTTAATAGCGTTTCTCATGCAGACTTTCCCACGTTGAATTAAAAAATTCGAAACCAATAGCATCCTCAGTCATTTTTCAATATTAATTTAATGCATTCATGAAACGATACAAGAGATTACTCAACTGAGTTGAATATTGAGTAGGATAACTTCACTGTGTAATTTCTAATTTTCATTTCGACTGCATTTATGAGATGATTCTAGCAAATCAAAAATGAGTTACCCATTCAATTTAGTCCATCTTTTAACTTACTGTTTAGTTTGCAAGCAAATTTGCTGTTTAGTTTGCAAGCAAATTTGCTGTTTAGTTTTCAAGCAAATTTGCTGTTTAGTTTGCAAGCAAGTTTTCTGTTTAGTTTGCAGTCAAATTTACTGAGCCAATTTCTCGGATAACATAGGAATAGAATATAAATACTCATATACACGATTCCAGTTTTAAACTTGCTGTAATGATGTCAAGTAAAATTATATTTATTAGTTGCCATTGTTTTGTATTGGAAAGAGAGGAACATAGCACTCATATAATAATCTGCAAGAAAAGGTATACTGGCAACCACTTAAAATGTTTTATAAACGAAAACCATGTTTCTTTGAATTACCAAAAACCCGTTCATTGAACTGTGTGCTTTGTTTGTAATAAATTGCTCATTGTTCACACCATTATAATATATAAGTTTAAATACAAAATTAAATAAAAAATTATAATCCTAATACGTTCCTACGTGAATAATCCTTTTTATTATGTAATTCCTTTAATGTATGAATATTCTTTTCTTATATGCTAAATTTAGCTTCCTATACATATGTACTAACTTTTTTTATATTCGAAATGTGTACAAAGTGCATCCATTTAATATATTCATTGGAGAAAATGCTACTTAATGGAAGCATGTTGTATTCAAAAAACATGTATGGATATTCTTGACCTTTTTCCACTGATCATTTGATCTGTACACTCATTTTACAATTTTTCCTAATTAGTCAAGCATCTTGTCACACTACTTACCTGCAATCATAACTTTAGTGGATATGTTCGGTTGCGATCCTAAAAATTATGCAAATAAAATGTACAAAATTGTTCATTTTACTCTCGTCACGGATTTAACAAAAGTTGCATTTTATTGTTGTCACTGATTTAATTATAGTTGCTTAAAATACTGTACCTGAATACGTCGCTTCCATTTACTTATTTTCTATCCATGCCCACCTCACCCCAACTAGTCGACCACTCTGCCTTTCCGTTGAGAGATCATCTTCGCCGTCTTCTCCACTCAGCTCTTTTCGCATGGTTTAGTTTCTTCCAGAAATGGACGAGATTAAGTTTCCTTTCTATTCCCATTTCTTCTTATTATATGCAACAATAACGCAGGGCGTTTAACCGTAAACGTTTACTTCAAGCACAAGTTCCTTTTTTATTCTTGGTATTTTAATGAAACATTTTTCCTTCTGGCCTTTGATTAATTTCGTCAACTATCACTTTTGGTATAGGAATGGAATGTGTTATCTTGAACATTATCATTTTTGTGATAGTTATCTAAGCCTAAATTTAAAATGCCCGCTTTTATATTGAAACTGAAACAGGACTTTTAGAATATTATCAGGTCCTTTTTCGTGATAATTATAGTTCATTAACATAACATAATTATGGGCTTCCTCTTTCCGTCAATTTAATGGCACTAAAAGGTCCCCCAACTCGTCGAGTCAGGCATAGGAGTTCAATCTCTGCCCTTGACCTTGGAGACAGAGACACATCGCTTTTACGACACCGATCGTTGTCTATGGTTTGCTGCCTGCCAGTGCCTCGGGCTGCCAGTCGCAGAGGGACATTACCCAGTCTCCCGGGACGCCACTCCGGGCTACTACAGCCCTCAGCTCTAGGACCTGCCAGATCCACGGGCCGACCAATAAGTGATCATTCTGCGGCCACCAGAACCACAAAGTTCGTAATTTATATATCCCTGTAACCGAGACTGCCTAGATACAGATCCTAGCCTGTGCCTGTAACTTTGCAGAGTTCTCTACGTCGACCCCCCGTAATTTAATTAAATATGCCCAAAAAGGAATTTAATGTTAAATAATAATAAAAGTTTTTTTTTTCTTTGCGTAAATCGCGTCATTTCTTAAAGGAGAAGCATTACGCTACTATGCAACATTGAGTGAGATGGGTGAGACTAATTAATACCTTAATCTTATATATTTCTACTTTTACAGTTGCCCTGATAGCAAGCAAATTGCTCACATTTGCCGTATCTTTGTTTCTTATTCTGCTACAGACAAAGAGATATAAATTAACTTCCTAGATATAAGTTAACTTTTTTTCATATCAAAATACTATTGTTTTATTCGGCTGTAAATTTTAGCTGAAGCCAGGAGAAAGGGATAATTTAATATAAAAATCAGAAATAAATTTTAAAAAATATAATAACATTAATACTTTTCATCCTTTTTCACTTATCCAGTTTCAAAAATAATATATATTGAAAGCAAATTCTTCATATTTGCATTCATAATATTTTGCTTTAAAAAGAACGCCAAATTATTTCATTAAAATTTCAGAGAATAATTAACTGAAATTTATTAATAATTTCCTATATGTATTTGTTATATCTATGAGGTTTATTAGGACTTGCTCGAAAATACTCACGTTTCGTTGTCGGCAAGAAATATGTTCTGGGTTGCATTTATTAATTAAATTTTTAAGCTGTGCAACAAAAGGTAAATACCACATCAGCTATTAAGAAACAAAAATATATTTTTAATAATGGAAATACTAAAAACGAGATCTGATCTAAGGAAACAAAAGTACATTCTAGCTTAGATTGGAAATACTATTTGTATTCTTTATATTGATTAGTTGCTGGAAGATGATGGATCAATGGACACTGCTCTTCTGAATTACTTATTCGCCCGCCAGATGTTCAACCGCATTCGCAACAACGTCGACGTCACCGACTTGCAGAGGAAACGTTCTTACTGGAAGCAATGTGCGTTCAACGCTGTTTCCTGCTTTGGGAAGAAGTAGAACAATTCGCCAACTCTCCATGTGCAATAAAGAAAGCATGTCAAGAATATCATCATACTATTACAGTTATGATTGTAATTCATTGTATATTCGCCAGTAAATAGAATAGAAATGTCTATGTCTGCTTTTAATTTTTAAATTATGGACACCTTATAAATGGTATTTATTTCTATTCAAAGACAGAATTTTGGGAAAGAGTCGCTGGTTGCTGTGTTTAAAATTTTTGCATTTAAGCATTAATATTATCCTCATGATTTGCTTATGTTTAATAATAAGTTCATTATTTTGAAGCTTACTGGAGTTTTTATACATTATTTATTTTCAGCAAATTAAATTAAATAGCAAATTTTTCATGTATTTGAAATAAAACTCCTACACTTTCAATACTTATTCAATGGATGTGAAATGAAATTAATATATTTATGAATATTTTCATATAGTACTTACTTATCGCTACCGCTTTTGTTAATATTTTATAGAAGCATCCTCTTCATGTATTGTAAAATGGTAATTAATTGATTTATTTCGCATTGAAAATGTGAAGTTAATATTATTAATTATTAATTAGCAATTAAATATTAAATATTAATTTATTTTGTTAATTAATTGATTAATAACCAAACAAGTGATTAAGTAAATAACTACTTAATTAATTATTAATTAATTTGTCGATTAATCGATTAATAATTAAATTATTGATTAATTAAATAAGTACTTAAATAATTTATCATTAATTACTGTGTCTTCTTTTTTACATTATCTCAGAAATCTTAACCAAAAGTTTTCTTAAAAATCTCATTTTTTCCCATCATGAGTTTTATTTGCATTTATTACGTAAAAGAATTATTTACTGTGTTTATTGAAATAGCGATTTGCATTTTTGGCTGTTATGAAAAGATTTCAGTTATTTTAAATTGTATTGCTTGTGTACCTAAGGTATATCTTTTATATTCCTGATATTATTATGTCAAATTTTGGAAGTATTAATTTGCGTAATTTTTGGCAACAACATGTTGATTCGTTCTTCTAGATTAAATCATTTAAGTAAGAATGTCATGCATCACACCAAATTATGATTACTTAAAATATCATTTTATTTAAGTAACTAAAAATTAACTGTTATTACTTATTATATTACTTTGAGGTACACTGTATGAAGAAAATTTTTAATGCAATACAATTTTTGCAAAATATAGATGCTTATGAATTTTAAAATGTATTAAATGGATAAATTTAATTTATTTTTTACAGTATATTTTAAGACAAATAGCCTGTATTTTTGTAATATTTTTTTAATCAAGAATAAAATTTTCATTTTCAAATAGAACGAAAAAAGAGTATTTTTAATAATTTAAAATAAAATACTTTTGAATAGATAAAAGAAATTTAAAATAAGAAATAAACCATTATCTTTTCCACTTACTACTACCAATAAATTTACCACTTACTATAGTATAAATCATACTCATTCGGATAAGAGAGTTTTATTTCAGAAACATCAATACAAAAATATAAATTGGCTTATGCTAATAAGTATTTAATTTATTTCTTCACATAGAACTCATATAAATAACTGTTACATTTTGCTGCTATGAAAGTTAGAAATATTGTCTCTGTGTATAGAATTCCATAAAAATGTTTAATATGTGTTTATATGTTATCTATAAAATGAACTCTAAAATAACTTACAATACAGTGCTTCCCATGTTCAAATTGTTCTATAAATCACAAATTTTGTTATTCATCTTCCTGTATATTTGTTTCGTAAATAAATAAGTTATTGCAAATAAGAGTTTAATATTATCCTTTCTAAGTTTTTTTTTCTAAAGTAATAACAGTTAACGTACACCACAAAAGAAATTGAAAAATAATTTTTTCACGTTACTTATAAACATTTTAGGTCTATAAGGATCACACGCAAGAAGAATACTTTTTACATCGTCATCCCCGCTACCGCATCTGCACAAAGCATTTGAAACAAGTCAAGATCACTTTAAATAGCTCTCAAAAGTGCCATGTCAAGTCAGAAACTGAGTTACTTTAAAATCTGTTAAAAATTCATCAAATTTGACTTTATAAAAATCGGAGGAGAAATCTTTTGGTCATTGTGCTTTTGCTGAGGCCTGATATTTTCCATTTCAAATAAAAACAGCATCATTTACATAAAAGCGCCTCCAGTGAGAAACCGGAACACGGAGATTCAAGTCAATGTTATTTAAATCTCCATCTATTTATCTATTCATCTTTTCAGATTTCTCTGTGAATTGTTAACCGGTCTTTAACTTCAAGCTAATAATGCTGAAAAACAATAAAATAAAAGTCAAACTAAATTAAAACTCATTTTTAACTGACGCCGCTCTAACGCAATTCTACCAACGAACAATATAATTATGGTTGAATTTCTAAGTAAAAGTGATTCACATTCATTCTCCGCACAGTTTCGACAAGTACATTCCTTGAGCCTGTGTTCTTTGTATGTGGGATTATGGGATTATATTGTAATTAAGTAAATTAGAACAACACATATTTTAAGGAATTTTTTTAATTTTTTCCATTTTTTATACGTTTTCTCCAACAGATTATTTTTGTGAAGTTTAAATAACAGTTTAAATTTTCGTATATGTAATAACATAGGAGGTATACTAATTTGTCCTGTCAGTGTATAGTAACATGTATAATAATTCCCACGTAATATGTATAGTAATGAAAAAAGCAAAACTCTAAGTATTTAATTCAACACATAATGCTATTTTGTTTCTATTTATAATTCTGCTTAGTTTTCCTCTTAAAGATTTCTAAAAACACTATATTTATTTCCCAACGAAAAAAAACGCTTATACTTACCCATCCCATATCCCTTCTAACAAAGCACAATTTATAAAGTTTTACAAAAGCTAAGTTTCGATTTGCTGGGGATTTAAAAATATATATATAAAAACGGAAGAGAATTTTAAACGTCAAAGGTGAGAAAACTGCACCACATAAAAAGCCCTTTTAACTGACAAAACAAATGTAGTCCCAGAACACTTTAAATGGAAATAGCTCGCGAAAGTCTAAATTTGTTTGCTTAACTCCTTAAAGAGTTCAAAAATTGTAGAATGCAGAACGTCAAGTCAAAGTTTCCCAAGGAAAGGCATTGCAAAAATGTGTTTCTTATTAAATTTATGGCACTTTTATATTATGCAAATCTAATCATTCAAAACTCTTTAAACATTAAATGAGACATGAAAAGAATTTATGTAGGATTTCAGATAAAATTGCTGTGTTTAATATTTAAAGGAAAAGCATCTGTAAAAGGTGCTGAAAAAATAATTATTATTTACGTAAACTTGCAAACAAAAGAGTGGCTTACAGTGTTGATTGAATGTTTCATAAACAATGATAATATATATCCGTGTTCTGTCAAGAGGAGGTTTCTTGATGGCAGATTAAATCACCTGTTCTGGCTTCCGAGCGGTAAAATTGCTAAACACTGACAGTTCCGCCTTGGGTTCAATTCCAGGCGAATGGGCTAGTTCATGGGCATTTTCGTGTTTTTCTCCATACGTAACGTGCTCAATACTCATTTTGCCTTAAACATTCCTCCACGAAGTCATCCTCCCCTTAGGAAGATAGCCCTAGTGGGTTTTATGATAAAAAACTAAGCCCTAAACCAGTAAATAGCTGTTCTTTAGCTTTATTTCCAATCTCAGTGGTCTGAGTGAGATTCTTTGAATTATGGCATAGCACGCGAGAGCTATTTGCGTAGTGGGAGGGATCATGGATTTAAGAACTGAATGAATAAAAATTAAACAAATGAAAATTTGGTTAAAACACCATTTTGAATTTTAATAAAATGAGAGCATTCCTATCATAGGTCAAGCGTACATTTTTACTTACTTTTATTACTAACATGTTTTCTTCAATATTAATTCCTAAAGCTAAAAATTATTATAACTAATTTATTAAATATATATTTTGTTAATTTGGAATGTAACATGTCTGACAGCTCTTTGCACCATATATTCTTCGGATCATTAGGTGATGTTTGAATTAAAAACTGAAACATAATTTTCAATCTGATTATGATCCTCGTAGTATTTGCAGAATTAAAAATTAAAGATAGTTCTTCCAATAAAGTGTTCTAATGTAAGTGACGAACTTTTATTAGAAAAGGTGAAACGAAAATGTATGTGGGGCATGGACGCACTCATCTAACCAATATTAATTAATATTTAGCAATGTTTAACAACGTTTTTACTCGAAACACTGTATACAGTAAAGTTTTTGATTAATTTAATGAGTTGACATATTTTGCTAACTTTACTTCTCATTGTTGTACAAAGTTTATAAAATAATTCATCCAACTTCATCTAATCTTATTTTATTGTTTAATTTTATTTAGTCTTATCGAAGTCTCAGAATGTATATACATCTTTTGAAGTTGAATACATTCTCTACTTCTAATTCCCCTATTCTCATTCCCATGCAATTCTCGTCGAAACGAGTTTCACGCGTTCACTTATTCGATTCCCTAGGGTTTGGTTTGATAAACAATGACAAAGCACACTCCTAGTGCGCTTTGATATCTGCTTAAGGGTATGGATACTTCGTGGTGGACTTTCTAAGGGTAACTAGCTCTTATATACATTATAAATAAGGAAAACCACGAAAACGCGCATGCAGATAGCCCGTTCGCCGGGATTCGAACTCAAGTCAGAACTACCTGTGTTTAGTCATTTAACCGCTCGACCGCTGGTGAATCGGCGGCTTATTAACAACGTGAGGGGTAATTACGTGAATTTATAGTGGAGGGCAATTTTGGGTTAATTAAAAACTATGCACTTTCAAAAAGCTTTTTCCATTTATTTGCATACATGCAAAATAACATTCGATGAGGAAACTATGCCTCTATTTTGCTTTTTCACGATTAATGAATGAAGTCGCTGAACACTGGTACTTCGGTTCGAGGTTCGAATCTGGCGAACGGGCTGGCTGCATGGGCGTTTTCGTGGTTTTCCCCATGTGTAACGTGTATACGAGCCAGTTTCACTTAGAAAGTCCTCCACGAAGGCATCCCTCCTCTTAGGCAGATAGCCTTAGTGTGCTTTGCCATAATTAAAGACACCACACACCA